AGATAAAAAGATGATTAAAGAAGGCTGTAAAGCAAAAAAAGCAGTTGGACCACAAACAAACTAATTATACCTGAGTTAACAGCAGTCAAAGGCAGTTTTAAACAAATGGGTTTTTAACTTTGACTTTAAATAGATTGTTCAAGATAAGTGGAGCATACAAACTAAATGCTGCTTCTCCATGTTTGGTTCTAGTTCTGGATGTAAAGAGTAGGCTTGACCTAGAAGACCCAAGTGGTCTGGGAGGTTGATGACAATAAATCTGTTGTCAATAAGTCTCAATGATTTATTGACAACAGAGGGATTTTAAAGTCTATTATCTGAGCTACAGGCAGCCAGTGGATTGACTTCAGCAGGCTGATGGGTTCTACTGTTTTAGATCTAGTGGGAACACGAGCAGTAGTGTTTTTGATCAGCTGCAGCCGTCTGATGAACTTTTTTGGCAAAACCTATAAAAACACTGAAATGACATATTCAAATGTCGTTTCAGAGTGTTTTTGTTGTTCTTTTGATTTGTAAATACAAGAACTGACCAAGCAAGGAAATGCTAACCAGCATGATATTTTGGAGAGTTACTGTGCTTCGCTCTTGACAAGAGAGTAGATTACTGATGGAAGGATAGAACCTGGATAAGGCCATATATCAAAGAGATAGGTATGTAAGCACTTATTTGCTTTTGAGCAAACTTTAGCAAACATTGTTTCTTTTTCTCCCCTTCTAAAATAAAACTGCAAGGTGTACTAAGCTAAAACCATCAATTTTCTGGGAGAAAACCCAACTCAGACTGTGGTCTATAACATTCCAATCAAAACATGGTTGACCATATTTGTTGTTGTTTTTTTTTTTTGTTTTTTTTTTCAAAGTGCTGCACTCACTAAAGTTGTAATGGGACTTAATGGGATCAATTGCCTTTTTTTTCTTACTATATTTACAGACCTTACAGGCACATTGTACTGGTCACCATATGGTAAAGTTCTGTTCTTTGAGTTGGGGTTAGGTTTATGACTAAGGTATGAATTCAGTTTGGGTTAGGGTTAGGTATGTTCGAGTAATAGTTAGGGTTAAGGTATGGATCTGGGTTCGGCCATATAGAATTAATGCAAGTCAATGAAATGTCTCCATATGTCATGACAACAAAGCTGTGTGTGTTTTAGTGTTGGGGACATTTTATACCCTGCAGCATTTCCAATTTATTTATCAAACTGTCAGTAAAGCACACAAGGCTGCACTCTGCTGGCAACCAATGTTTTTAACACCCATATCCTGTGTTGTAAATTATTTCATTGCCTTCAAAGAAAGGCTTGGAAAGGCCTGCAAAGCAGATTTTTTAATATCTCACCTATTTGCAAGAAACCAGTGGGATGTCAGAACATAATGAAAATGACAGTTTCAATCAGTGGAGTCACGTTCAAGATTGCAATTTCCAAAGCATCCATGTGTAAAAGTGTTGAATAAACTCTTCACTGTAAGCTGAGGAAGATAAAACAGCATAGCAACTGTCTGTTAATGACAGTTAGGTAGTAAGTGTGCTCTGGGTACAATGTTCAGAGATAGAAGCCACTTAGCTTGATTAGCATGATTAGCCGGGCCAGTCTGATTTGATTAGAGTCATGCTCTTTCTGATAAACTCATTATTCAAATAGAGTTTAATTGCAAATTAAGATAGACAGCCAGCCACTATGTTGAAAGCTTGTGCTTTTGTATAAACAGTTATCTTAACCAGAGTGGTGCACAATATGACATCATAGAAGATCCAGGAAAAAAGGACATTAGGAGAAAAATGCCAAAAAAAAAATGTCATTAAATTATCTGATATCGTGAAACAACTTGACATGATTTTTTAAAAATGATTTTCATGGCACGTTTCCATAGTTTCTGTGTGTGTTGTCTACTTTGTTATATATTTACCAGCATTTACTCTGCACAGTTTTATTTATTCTGACCCTTCATTAAATTGAATGAAGTGATAGGTTTTGATAAAGTGACAGAGGAACTAAAAAAGTTATTTGTACTTCAATCCAAACACACAATTTAAACAGTCTGATCACTTTGCCTTTGTGTCTCATGGTAAAGACTTCTGACTAAAGGAGTTAATCACTTGTTTGTCCATGGATCTCTGCCTGATGAGACAAACCACGGTTAGTTTGAATCCCTTACTAAGCTCTGGCTGGACTGAAAGGGGTAGTAATGCCATAATAACACAGCTGGTGTAACCACAATTATATAACAACTAACAATCTCTTGCACAGGGCAGCTGAACACTATCTGGATATGGATGCTGTGTGTGTTTGTGCATTTGTTCTTATGGCCTTTTCGTGTAACACATGACCCACCACACACACATACACACACCCCAGCATGCACAATCACACACATGATGATTATATAAAGCATTTTGGCTTGACTTGGCATGTCAATAAAAAACACCAGACTGGACACAGCTGACTGGTTGGATTTGTCGTTTTACAAGTGACCTGCACACACACTCACAGAAACAGACTGAAACAATATTTTTACAGTTGTGAAGGGGTCATATAAGGTTTCTGAAATGCAATGGAGAATTAAAAGTTAAGTAGGTTTCTGTCAGGGATTTTTAACCTGCATTACTGCCAACTAAGGTGACTTAGCACAAATTTTAACAGCTGATTTATAATGTCATTATGTGGTAGTTACTAGCAAATAATCAGTTAGCACATTAAAGTGACTGCAATACACCTGCAATGTTAGCTTGAAGCGCTATAAAGAAGAGGTTCCTAAAGCTGGGGGTCAGGACCCCCACTGTGGGTCACAAATAAACAAATGCAGGGTATTTGATTTTGTTTAAAAATAGGCGTAATGATAATGGTGAAACAATGGTTTGCTATAAATATTAAAATCTGAAAAAAATGTTTTGATTTGGTGTCACAAAGCAATAGCCAGACACATATGTTTGGGAACTATTGTACTAAAAGTGAGGAACATACATTTAATAGCAACATTTCTAATAAGCATATATATAATAAAAGAAATCATCTAACTTAAAAAATATATATAAAGTCCATTCTTAATAAATAATAAAAGTACAAAATATTTTGTGTATTTCTAAAAGCCTTGTACTACCTGTGATTGTAAAACATAATTTTTACTACTTTTATTTTATTTAATTTTTTTGTTATTTTTAAATATAATTATTATTTTTCATTTTATTTTGTGTTCTTTTTGATCCATTTGTTTGTGTGTGTTATTGTTTTAGCTGTTTACATCAAACACGGCCTGGAAAGTCGTTTGTATTCAGTATTTTATATAGTTCAACTGTGTATGAAGATCTTAGAGATTTTGTTTTTTTAGGCCTATACTATAATCTTACATTGGTATTTGTTTGTTCTTGTCCCCATTTACTTGTGAGGGGTTAAAATGTTTTGTGTCCCACAGAAAGGAAATCAAAAGATGTATTATTGTAGCAAAAAGCAAAACATTTTCATGTCATAAAATAAAATGCTGCTGAATATTTGTTTTTATCGATTTTTTTTTTTTTACCTTCAGGGCTCCATGTTTTATTTCAGAAAATTTAGGCCTTATTTTTTAAATTATTATTTCATTGCAGAACCCTAATCCCAATGAATCATTGTAACATGTGTCCAAATGAGTTAAAATATATGTTTTTCTTACTCAGTTTTTTGGCAAACACATAGAGATAATAGCAGCTGCCAACTTGTACTACTCCCACTCTGTGTGAGTGAACTCTACTACTTAGCCATGCCCCCCTGAACTTCCCCCCTACTTCTGCAGTCAAATCTGTACATTTGTCTTTTCTTTTTTTATTTATTTCTGTGTATTTTGCTTGTTTGCTTCCATCTTTTGAATTCATTATTGTTTTTTTCAACTGGCAACTTGCTCCTCCCACCATAACTATAATCCCTACAAACCCACCACACCCACCCCCCTCTGTTGCCATGTGTGATCAAGCATCCAGTCTGTTTGTCACACACTTTGGACAGAGGGGGAGATACACATGGATTGAGATGATGTGTGTATGTTTGGGAGAGAGAGATCAAACAGAGGAGAGATCAGGGAGCAGAACCGGGTGATGTGTGGAACAGATTAATGGAAAGGGGCTGATGCTGCTGTCGCTATGATACACATTTATACTTTGACGTTAGTCTGAACTGTCCATTTAGTTAATAACCCTGTTTGGTGCAGTTTTAGTGGTTTATTTTGTAGCCTTTTTTATTTTTGACTGCAATGAAAGAGGTTTAGTTCTTAGTCATACTGGCTATTTTTATTGTGGTATGTAGCGGAGGACTAGAGCTGCAACCGATGAACCTAAGAGGACAGAAAGCAGGAGGACTTGAAGAAAAGCAGTGGAATAATAGGATTGACACGTCTTTTGCAAATATGAAGTGAAAAGGCAACATTCTGAACTTTAAAAGCTTGTGTGTTTTATTATTATTATTATTTTTTTTTTTTATGTGCGTACAGAGCTCAGGCCGTTGCTAAAATCATTTGTTTTATTCTTTCCTTTGCGAGTCTGGCAAAACTAGGATTGTAAAACTAGGGAATCAGGAGCTAAGATGAGACCAAGAATTGTGTGCAGCGTGGAAAAAAGATGTACATATACATTTTAAAACATTTCTAGAATTTCACCTTACTTAAAAACATACCTTAGAAATACTACCTTCGCTGTACAATGTAGACATATAAGGTATAGTGTTAAAATGTTTGTATTGCAGCTCTAAGTTGCTAAAAAGCAGTTTATGGCAATATTTTTCTAAGTACATAGTGTGGTTTTCCAGTGTGGTACGTAGTACTGTCCACTATAAGGGCTGTGCAGTATGTCATGCGGTGTACGCAGTCGCTCCATGGTGGTAATCCATAGCAGATGTACTCAACATGCTGTACCAAAACCTGAGACGAGTAAGTTGTTATTGTTGCTTTATCTTTGGGTTTCTCACTAGTTGTAACAGGGTTTTATTTTAAAATCACTGAGAATGTAATTAATAAATGACTCTTTCCTGTTTTTGCAGGCCAACCCCCCTCCAGTGGTGGTCAATACCGACAGCGTAGACACCCCCCCATATGTAAGTATGGCTTAAACTGCACTGATTAGTGAACAGCGTCCTTTTAGTGGTTAGTTCTAGATAAGAATTATGTCTCTTTTTGGGTAATTATTGAGAAAAGCCAAGAACTGATGAATCATTTTAAAGATACTAGTGTTTTTTATGTTGTTTGTGTAGTTAATTATTGGTTTTGGACATAAGAATAAACCTATATGCAGCTTAAATTTGTTTATTGATTAAAAATCAGCCTGTTTAAGATTAAGATCTACATGTAGGTTGCTATACAGCATGTACATATACAATTTTATCTTAAAAACCTTTTACTTCCACTTCATCTCTGTTTAAAAAATAAAATCTCATGTTGAAATTTTTGCTTGTTTTTCGACACTCAATTTTAAAGGCATGTAGTAATAAAAAGGAAAAAAAATGCAAAACCTGTATTTCCCACGAATAATTACCGTCATAGTATAATAATTAATTTTAAAATGTCTGAAAGATTATTTATTGTCTTTAATTTTTAAGAATTCAGTGAATCTTTTAAAGGAACAACTTTCTCCACATTAAGATTAATTTGCCCTTATACTTGTTTTCTATATAATCTGGGATTACTCAGTCTATTTCCCAAAGAATGAAAAACAAAGTAAAAAAAAATCTTTTAGCACCACTTCGAAAGTCTAGTTCCAAAGGTTCGAAGAGAATGTTTTCTGAGCCTGAAAAATCTTTTTAAGGATATAGAATATGCAAGAGTGGTTTTCCTACATTTATGTGCTGTCTTTTGATGTGGAAATACAGTTTAAATGTCATTAGAGCTTGTTTTATGGCAAACGCAAGCCTGAATTCAGAAGCATTGGATAAAAAAGAAAAGTCTTATTTTTAACACAATATTCTACCCTTCAGAAAGAGAAGGACTTGCAAGCTTTAAAAACCATCCATATAAAGATGCCCATGACAGGAAAACAATAAAAATGTCAGCCCCACTGTTGTATCAAACACAGAGTTTAAAGCTTCTGCTCCTGCAATTAAATATCTATAATGAATGTTAGCATATATGTCCAGTAAATGTGTGTTTTAAAGGCTGCAGCATCCTATTTAAACAGAACTCTCAATCCAGAATTAGATAAATCCAGATGTCCTCCTAATGTTGACCAGCTGCTGCAGGGAATCAATGTGGTTTTGTTAGATAATTTTATTATGTAATTACTGTGGAACTGCTCCCTGCTGGACTGAATCTGTAAGAAATTTCAATTAGGGACGGATTCCCTTGACATTCAGATAACTCCCTTAATCACTGAATGATATTAAGGACTGTCCGTTGCTTGCTTTTTTATTGTTTCTGATAAAGTTCATTACCTAGTTCCAAAAAAAAAAAAAATTGAATATCTAAGCAATTTCAGTGCTGGTTTAGGAGTAAAGCAGGATCATGTAACCGTTGTTTGTTCAAATAATTGAGTTACACTTTTTATGCTGCAATGCTCAGTCAAAAGGGAGGAGGAGCATTTCTGTGGATGAGAATAGACTCACAACACATGGCATTTTAAGGGAGACTGTTTAAAATAGCAAATATTCAAAATCTAAAGTAATCTGACTGCACAAAGACACAGATTACAGACAGGCGGATTACATTGGCCCCTGGGGCGCCAGTCGACCACTGTATCTCTGTGTGGCTGTTTGATCTAGTGCATGCAGCAACTGCATCTACAAAAATGTAGTACCACCTAGAGAGTGTCTGAGAAGAAATATCTGTGTGCTTCTAATTCAGTTCAAAAGTCTGTGCACCCCTTCCTCATTGTCTATAGTTGCTTATCTGTGCATGGCCATGGGGGGCTGGGGCCTATCATGATGGTCATTGACAAATAGACACAACAGATTTTAAAGACACGTTTTTGAATGTGACATCAGAGATGCATCATCAGAAGCTGCGCATTAGGATTTTAATCTTCTGGATATGTCATTCATAAATATTATCCACTTTGATTTTGTATTATATGTTGTGCGATTTTTGTCGTTATATAAACAGGTTGATTAAGTAATAGTACACTATTTTAATGTTAGTGTTTCATTTTAGTTTACCTATATAGAATCAATATACTTATTGTATAGATATAAAACAAAAGCAGAGCAAGTTTATTTATATAACACAATTCAGTACATGGGCAATTCAAAGTGCTTTACATGAACTAAACAATAAAATAGAAGATAAATAAAACCAGAGTAAAAGCAAATGATGATAAAAACATGATAAAAGCAGGTAGTAAAACAAAACAGTTTGACCACAACCTTAAGCAAATAATACCTCAGTTAACAGTTAACTTCAACAGTCAAAGGGAGCTCTAAACAAATGGGTTTTTAACATTGACTCCAAATAATGTAGGCTTTCACCACTTTTAAAAATATTCTGCAAGTTTGTTCCAGACAAGATCACAGAAATGGAATGCTCCTTTTCTGTGTTTGGTTCTAGTTCCAGTGTAGGCTTGAACTAGAAGACCTGAGTGGTCTGGGATACACTGACAACAAATCTGTCATTTATTGAGGTGCAGATCCATTAAGTGATTTATAGACTAACAGAATGATTTTAAAGTCTATTCTCTGAGCTACAGGGAGCCTGTGGAAGGATTGCAGAACTGGGCTGATGTGCTCTACTTTCTTAGTTCTAGTGAGGACACTTGCAGCAGTGTTTTGGATCAGCTGCAGGTGTCTCATGGACGTTTTAGGCAAACCTATGAAGATAAATGCATGATTGAGTTTTTCTAGTTCTTGTTTGGACATTAGTCCTTTACTTAGTCCATTGTGACACCAATATTTTGGCCATTATCAGTGCTTTCTAACTGTAGTAGCTGAAACTGTGAGCTAACAATGGATCTCTCCTTTTTTGGTTGGAAATTATTACATCAGTTTTGTTTTTATTCAATTGAAAAAATTATGGAGCATCCACATATCTGTACTAAGCATCCAGGCAATGCCCTGATGGATTCATAGTCACCTGGCAGACATGGGCAATGTGGAGTCAACAAGTCATCTCCATGTCATGTATTTGTTCTACCCAGCCACTAAAGCAGGTGAGTCCAATCTTCACCGTGAATTAACCTGTGCAGATTGGACTCACCTGGTTAATTGGCTGGGTAGATTAAATACATGACATGGAGATGACTTGTTGACTCCACATTGCCCATGTCTGTCACCTGGTGGCATTGAGCTGTAAAGCTCTGTGTTGTTTGCATAGTTAGTTAGTGCAAAAAGTTAGTTAGTCTTGACGCTTGCTATTTACTGAGCTAAGAGGAGCATGTAGATGTTGAATAGTAGGGTGCCCAGAATGGAGCCTTTAGGAACCTTGCATGTCATTCTTCTGGTCTCTGATTTAAAGTTCCCTACTTACACATAAAAGTCCCTGTCCTTTAGGCAGGATTCAAACCAGTCCAGTGAAGTACCAGAAAGGTCGACCCAGTTTTCTAGATGCAAAGCACTGTTTCCTTTGTGAACGAGCTTGCAGTCCAAGCCGACAAAGCAAACACTGGCAAAATTATCCTTTTTTTAACATTTGCAATAAATTACAACACCTATGACATTTAGATAACAATTCAAAAATCCACTGTAAAAGGGACATTAAAACGTCTTTTTGCTTTAAAACAAATGGGGCATCAGCTATCAATTATTTCTGGAATTGAATAATAAATTATATTTTGTTTTTTAATGAATGACTAGTCTAGAAAGAAATATCCTGAGCAATGAGCAAGTGTTTGAACTTAAAAAGCAAGACATTTCAGATACATTTTAAATGGCTAAAACATTAAGAAATTGATTCAATGCAAGAAATGCCATGTGAAAAATTTTAGATACAATATTTTTATTTACATTCAAAATTCCTAGCAAAACATTTCTGACTGTTAATTTACATTTGCTTAAAAGTCTTATCTTTTATGCCTTACTCCCTTATATTGGATATTACTTAAACTATTAATTCCTGAATATCAGCAGTGGTTTAAAAATACTAACAGCTCACTGTTCCCTAAAGATGCTTACCTCATTTCATTACACAAAAATATTGTCTCTTTTTTTTCCTCTCTGACAGGTCAATGGAACAGAAGCAGACTATGAGTATGAGGAAATCACGCTGGAAAGGGTAAAAAATGTTCCATGCACTTCATGCACCAAAGAAATTTTACTTTGCATTTTATAAAAGGCTGCTGTCTTTCAAATTGTAATAAGTAGCAGACCTAACATATCCGTTCCTAATGTGTCTGACATAATGATGCACAAAACATTGAACATGTATAATAACCCTTGGACTTTTTCAAAGTTTGTTACATATCATCCAGATGCTTTAATGTGTTTCCCTTTTTGTGTGAAAGAGCAACACGAGTGAACGCATGTACCTTTAAAGTGTGTGAGATGGCTACATGGCTTTCAGTTTTTTTCTATTTAGAAATCTCAGTAATGTTGCATGCATTTGTATTAAGTCCTCCTTAATCGTATGCTGCTTAATTAAGATCTAGTGCAAAACCCTTTAGCACCTGTGTGTAGGTTCCAAAATATATTACCCTTTTTGGGGAGATCTCAAAAATTTGTTGTAAAGCATCAGCCAAAAAAAATGATCATAAAGGTCAAAGAACGCTTGACTAATCACGACTAGATGAAAATATCCAAAGCTTTAAACGTATCACTGTTCAATTCAAAACCCAAAAACAGAGGAAAGCAAACAACTTAAACATATGTAATCATGACCTTCCACCCAGACACAGGCTGTCCAAGCAGAGCATTAATAAGACTTCCAGCAGAGATAGTTGGTATCTTTGAAGATCCATAGCTCAGTTTGAAGAATTTGAAGCAGAAGATTATTGTTGTAAAAAAACATTTGGGGGAACCTGCTGTGGACTGAAGGATATATAATCTATATGTGTAGAAAACTATCAATAACTCCTTTTTTTTCTTTTATGATTGTTTTGTAAAATCTAAAGTGATCTCTCTGTTTGCAACATTTGAAATAATTAAGAAGTTAATTGGTATTACAAACTTTTGCAAGGACTCCTGTTTAGTCGGTCAAAATTTGGTAGATCTTGCTTCTGCCAAATCTCCCTTCTATTCAATCTCATCATTTGTTTTTACTGTTTTTTTTAGCTTTAGTGTTAGTCCATGTCCACAACTTGCTCCCCTGTCCTCTCCATTTCTTTTTTTCTAATCACCCACTTTCCTTTCACAGTCCTCTACGATTCCCCTTCCCTGATTATATTCCCTTTATCTCATCCCCAAGGCGGTCTTTCTGTGTCTCACTTTGCCGTTCTATTCTCTTGTGACCTGGTTCTGTCTGCTTGACTGAAGCTGCTTTAAAGTCACCACGGACATAGATGCAAACACAGCAGCAGCAGATATTACACTAGATCTAAATCCATGACAGGGCATGGGTAAAAGAATGCCTGCCAGCAGCTAAGGTTTCAAGCATGTAATATTATTTAAAATAACTTAAATGTTCTGGTTTTGTTACATTATTAAATTAATAAGAAAAATCAAAATATTCCACCTAGTTATATATTTATTTACACAGTAGATGTTTTCAAGTTATATTAAGATTCATGTTGATTATAGTTTTATTCAGGTTCCAATGAGAGTATTAGGTTTTGGCAGCAAGACGTTATAATCCTGTGTACAAATTATTTCATTATAACAACATCATAGGTGTACTGTGATGTGTTTTATAATAATAAACATCATGAGTATAATATATTTAAAAAGGTCCTGTTTAAAACCTTATAATTCTTTATTTCTGATTTTTTTTCTTTCCAATTTAAATGCAAACCAATATTTATTCGATGCATTGCAGCTCGCCTGTTTCCATCTCTCCTCAGTACCATTTTAGCTGCCATCTTTTATGCTGTAATGTGCCTTTAAGCATGACTATTATGAAGGTGACCTGCCCTGTTGATATTATATTCAGTTGTCTTCTAATGTTCTTTCATTAAATGTTTCTTAGGCAAGATAGGCTTGATTTTTTCCCACTATTCTTCTCGACCACAAGCCTATGCTAAAGCAATCATCACACGAATCTACCAAGAGGGTTTACCAGCAATCCTTGTAAATATCCAAGGTTTTGTGACGTGTGATAAAGTAAATTACAAGTCGGATTAGGAAGAGAAATAAAAAAGACTGACGGCAAGAGAGAAATAGAACTACAAGGCTTCTTTTAATGAACGACAGTAGGGAGAGCCCTGCTGTGTTCTCAGAGTGGATAATGTATCTTTTGTGTACAAAATATATGCAAGACCGACCGGTATTTCACAAAAAGAAATGGCTTTATTCTTTCTTTTTAATGTATTTTTTCTTCCCTGTAGAGAAAGTATAAAACTGTGCATTATTACTCACATAAGGCTATAGTAAAAACTTTTCTCTCAGTGAAACATGAATATTCAGCCTATCTAAAATCAACAATAATTTCAATCGTGTTACAGATTATTATATCAATATTTCCTACATATAATGCTATCTTTTACATTTATATAGTTACATTGTTTTAACTTTAAAACATACTGTAGACTTAAGCCAAAATATGTATATTATTTAGGTAATTAGTTAGGCTACTTGCTGTATAAGCCAACAGTTAATCTGATTCTTAACAAATATTGACATTTTTAAACTGGGTAAACTTAATTAAGCATTTTTGGCCCTTTAGCTACCACAAGATAACTTTGATTTCTTTGGAAACAATTTGGTTGCCTATTATTCAGGTAACTGAACAGCAGAGAGAAATATTTTGGCAGCCACCATATGGATACCATCAAATAAGAAAGTATTTTAAACCAAAGTGGTGTTTAAAGGTGTTTTTTAAACTCTGCTATACATTGATGGATGTAACTGGCATAACATGATAATCCATATGAAAATGAAATGTTTTCAAATTTATATTAGACTTGAAAAAAAAAACCTTACCAGAAATATTGTTTGATTATCTTTCATTTTTCATTGGAAAATTATTTTTGTTAGGAATTATCGGCATTTTTTTCACATACTTTCTTTCTGTTTGTATGAGCAGGGTAACTCAGGCCTGGGCTTCAGTATTGCTGGTGGCACAGATAACCCCCACATTGGAGAAGACCCTTCAATCTTCATAACCAAGATAATCCCAGGAGGAGCTGCAGCGCAGAATGGACGACTCAGGTAGAAGCAATTTTTTTTTTTTTTACAATGTCCTAAATTCTAAATTCTATTAACAATTCATCATTAAGTGAAGGAGGCTATCAAAGGTCACATTAGCACTGTAGGACTTTGCGTGAACAGATTTCTGTTCACACAAAGCTGATGTACTTTGTTTGAAAAGTGTTTGAAATCATATATGTTGCTTTTGATTTTACAATATTTCCTCAAGGATGTGTGATTATATAGCACCATCATTTACATACATATATATATTTATATATATTTTATAACAAGAACAAGAATTTAAGATAAACAGCTATTATTTTTTTGTAATTTGGAGCTGAAAAAAAGCCAAAGAAAATTTAGAATCTTTAAAAAAAAAAAACTATCGGTTAAATAAATACCAAAACTATAATTAGGAAAAGATATGTGGGGGAGTAAAAGCAGATATACCCCAGGTGCACACTTCTTTTACTTCAATTGAAATTCTTAACATCTAGCACATTTTATAATGAATATTAATATGCAATACCAACATTTGCAGCTGTACTGAATTACCCTTTAAGGTGTCTTTCACCTTAAATAAATTTTCATCAGTTGCATAATAGTTACATGTTTTTGTTGTTATATGCACGTACTTACCTTTTTTAGATCAGGGTAAGTGGCTGTAGATGGCTTTTTATTTATATCCCTTTTAGCCTTTTTAAAGGTTGACACATATCTGCCTTACTTCAATGACAGATCTTCCTCTCCTTCCCATTTTGAAAGATGGCTAATAGATATAGACCCCTGTGTTACATCACTTGTATCCCCTAAGAATTTTTTTTGTATCAATAAATATTAATTTGAAAATGTAAGGTATGAATTAAAACAAAGGATCTTCAGTTCCTCTTAAATTATTGCTAAGTGAAGCCAGATAATTTTATTAAATAAAGAAATAGCTCATAATGCAGGATATCAGTTGTGATGATCATATAGCAATTATTGTATCAAAGCTTTCCAATAATTGTGAGATAATGCTGAGAAAAATGATTTCAGTGCTTTGCCTTACATAGTCTATATTACTGCTGTGCAGGGTGAATGACTGTATAGTCCGAGTGAATGACACGGATGTCAGGGAGGTGACACACAGCGGAGCAGTGGAGGCACTCAAGGAGGCAGGAGGACTGGTCCGATTGTGTATACGACGCAGGAGGAGCCTCGCTGAGAGAATCATGGATATTAAACTGGTCAAAGGACCTAAAGGTGAGACTTTGCCATAAACACAATTATCACTGAAGTGCTGTACATCATTTTAACTTAAACATACAGTTTTTGATTTGAAAATAACGACAAAAAGATAAGTTAAGCATGAGATAAATACAAATAAATCTGTTTGGGTTTTTTTGAGTTCTGAAACAAAGTTTTCTCTTAAATCATATGAGTTGAAACTTGAAATCATTTGTTGAAATTATTCAGCTTGGGAAGCAGAAAACTAACCGATAAGTTAAAACAATTCATGAAACACCTTAAAACAATAATTTAACATAGATTTATGAATGTGCTAGTTCTTAAAATTAGTTAAAAGTTTCTGCAAGATTAATACATTTGTCAATTATAAAAAAAGATTTAAAATGTCATAAATATTACCTTTATATGTTGTTTTATTTTATTTTATTTTATTTTATTTTATTTTAGGTTTAGGATTCAGCATAGCAGGGGGTGTTGGAAACCAACACGTTCCAGGTGACAACAGCATCTATGTGACTAAAATCATTGAGGGAGGAGCTGCACACAAAGATGGACGGTTACAAATAGGAGATAAACTTATTGCTGTAAGAAACCCTTTTATG